TAAAAAAAAACTAAGATCATGGCCACTGGTCCTATCACCTCCTGGCAAATTGAAGGGGAAGATATGGAGGAAGTGATAGATTTTACTTTCCTTGCTCCAGGATCACTGCAGATGGTGACAGCAGCCATAAAATTAAAAGATGCCTGCTTCTTGGGAGGAAAGTGATGACAAACCTAGACAACATCTTAAAGAGCAGAGACATCACCTTGCCGACAAAGGTCTGCATAGTCAAAGCTATGTTTTTCCCAGTAACGATGTGTGGAAGTGAGAGCTGGACCGTAAAGAAGGTTGACCGACGAAGAACTGATGCTTTTGAACTGTGGTGCTGGAGGAGACTCTTGAGAGTCCCCTGGACTGCAAAGAGAAGAAACCTCTCCATTCTGAAGGAAATCAAACCTGAGTGCTCACTGGAGGGACAGATCCTGAAGCTGAGGCTTCAATACATTGGCCATCTCATGAGTGGAGAAGACTCCCTGGAAAATATCCTGATGTTGCGAAAGTGTGAAGGCAAGAGGAGAAGGGGACGTCAGAGGGCGAGATGGTTGGACAGTGTCATTGAAGCTACCAGCATGAATTTGACCCAACTCGGGGAGGCAGTGGAAGACAGGAGGGCTTGCCGTGCTTTGGTCCATGGGGTCACGAAGAGTTGGACACGACTTAATCACTATAAAACAAAATATAGCAGTGGTTCCCAACCTTGGGTAACCCAGATGCTCATGGAGTGCAGTTTCCAGGAACCGTCACCACCAGCTATGCTGGCTGAAGTTATTGGGAGTTGCAGTCCAAAAATATCTGGGTTCCTCAAGGTTTGGAAATCACTGTTACATGGCAATCCCGTAGCGTAGAGCATTACCAGGCTGGTATATTTTGTAGACATTTTATTAGCAAGTTTTGCAGAGGCTCGAATGGAAGTTTCTGATTTTCATCACTGGTAAAGCACAAGGTCTTCAATAGTATAATAAGTTGTTTTCATTTTACCAGTGTTTCCTTTTATTTTGGTAGAGAGTAAAACAAGTTATGTTTCAGATTTGCCTGCCATTATCAGCCTTTTTAATCCATCTCTTGATTATGGTATCTGTATCTATCTGGATATATAAGTAATCAATGGTTTCTGGTGATTAGTTATGCTGGCATATCTAAATCAAATCCAAGATAGTGTAATGGAAAGGGAGGAAGAACTTTTTTGGTTAGGAATGCTACAAAAGCAGGCCGGAAATCATGTGCACAATGAAAAGCTTTGGATTTTTTTTCTGGATTTAGCTTTTGCTTTACTTACAGGGCTAGCAGAGAGAGCTCTAGGTCCATCAAATCTGTTTCCATTTGCCAATGAGTTCAGTGAACCAACTTTGGCTACTCAAAAAGTCAGTCCTCTCCCCCAGCTCAGCCTTCTACACTAGATAGCAGTAGACAACTTCCTGGATTAGTTTGTTTCTTTTCTCTTCAAACTTCTGTTTGTGGGCTGGCTGAATCTGAATTGGGCAGAGTGGCACTATTTGACGACACCTAATGTCAGCCTTCTAGTATGGGTTTGCAGCATAAATTGTCAGATAGTATCAAAGCAGTTAGTAAGTTGAGCAAAATTCATGGTTCCTACATATGTGATGTTACTATATGGAAGGTGACAATACTGGAGCAGTCGGGACTGTGCCCCTGTTTTTGCGTGGAACAAATGTGTTTCCTCATTTTTCCTTATCATTATTGCCAGAAAATGGCATTGACAAATCACAAATATATCTGTGATTTGGTATTGGGGGTGTAGGCCAATCCAGTATTTATTACTGAGACCTGGCTAGATGAGTGGACATACACTTAACCCCATTGGTGCTGTCCAGGGTCCAAGAGTAAACGTGGGAATGGCTGTATTCAACTGTGACTGTTTTTCTTCATACAGATTGACTGTCCTTGATTGTGTGCTTCCTAGTGTCATGTCAAATTTTTATTTAGAATAGTTCCAGTGCACTGACTGCCTAGAAAGGTGTCTGTCTGCCTATATGGATGGTAGAGATGCCTTGATATATTGATCTGGGGGACCTCCAACAGATACCACTGCATCTGCAGTTTGGAATTTAACTGAGCTGTGGCAGTTTGTATTGGGTCCAGTACATATGTGAGATTTGTGGTGGGTTTGAAAAGCAATAGATGTGCTACAAAGAAGGTTATAGCACATTACTGTTTTAGTGTGGCATAATTCAGTATCTCCAAAATGTTGTAGCTGCTTTTAATGTGGATGTGTGGAGCATGACCATATCAACTGAATTTTAAGCCGATTTGAATGGTATGTTATTAACCCTTTAGTGCCCTTCACTGCCTGAGACGACATCTGAACGAACCTCCTTTATCTCTATCAGACCCTGAACTCTTTACATCGTCAGGACAGGCTGTAACACATGAGATTTGAGCCTCTGTTGCTATAGGAGGAGTCCCCATAGTGCTCACTCCAAGATTTTAAAAATGATTTCGTGCTGAATTGAAAGGTTATCTACAGTTTTGGATGGGTAGGAGGCAAGCACCTCTATTTGTTTAGAAAAGCCTTTGCTAAGTCTATAATGGGTATGATTTTTGTCTAGTTGGTGGTTGTATTTCATTTAATTGCTAGATCATTACTGCCTGACAGGTTAACATATTACAAAACAGCAGCATGGTACTGTATCTGCCCAAGTCCCTTGGAGCACAGGAAAAGTGACACATGCCTGTTTAAAATAAATAATTGAGTTTACAAAGCTGAGAGAAGCCAGAGTAGGTTTTCCAGGAATTGGGAGATGTGGTGGTTTTTTCCTGAAACTAACAGAAGCAGAATTCAGAGGAGGAGATGGAGCCCAGCTTCATTTTATACAAGCCACTACTTCCAAAGGCGCAACCCTTCACATAGTGTGCTGTAGCTTATCCCCAAGGTTGCAAGGCAGCGATAATACCAGCAAGAGCCCCATTTTCAAGGAGAGGATCAGCCTGTATATCAGCTGTACTAGATAAAATTTGTGCCTAACTGCAAAGGCATGTGCTCC